CTATCTAAAAGAAAAAATTAGTAGGTTTCCTTCGGTAGAGGGATCAATCTAAAAGGAACCCATTTAAACACCAGATCACAGGAATCGTTCTACCTAACTTAAAATATTGAGTTCAGAGGATGAAGTTGAAATCCGTGCCAAGACGACCAATTTGCACCTAGAGGCCATCATCGAGTCTCTACCAGTATTTGGAACCACCTATAGAGATCAAAACAATATTAAAACCCCCCCTATAGAACCCCCCCGTATTTCCCGAGTTTAGCGATAGTTTACTGTGGTTGTTTCCGGTGACTCATTGGGGATCAGGATTTTTTATGGAGAACGAAAATCTGGGGGGAAGGGGGAGGGGGGGAAGGGCACGCTTGCTATACTGCCAAGACCCCACAGCCTGAACAGAGCGCTTGATATTAACTTAAATATGATATGGCGTACCGGTGTTAGAAATCTCGAGGTGCTCCTCGGGAAAGCGCCTTGGCTGCAGGAATGCATGGGGTTTTTGAACCAAGCCGCCGGAAGGAGGGGGAAAGGCTGTTAGGAAAGCCGGAAAGTCAGATGACGAGTGTCGGATGTTCGGAGGTTATGGACCGTGGGAGTTTGTCCTTCCTTTGCTGGCACGGGAGTCGGGGGAAGGTGAAAGAGAGGAATACGAGAAATAGTATAGACATGTGTGGTAATCCATGCAGTGATAGAAGGACTTGATCGTTGTCGATAGATACTCCTAGCTTTACCATTAGTTAACGTACCCCACGGCGAGTCGAAACACACGGTGACACGAAACAACTAGTGCTTAACCAGTATCTATAAACCTGTTTTCTTAATAACTTAACTAGCGTGACAATGGAAGGATATCCGAGGCTTTCGCCATCTATCAATCAGCTTAAAGTAAATGTAGCAACCAAAGACAATGAAACATAACTGATAGTCTGTACAAGCAACAAAGTGGTACAGAATGTCCTTTACCGATGAGCATTTCACGAGTGAAAGACGTATTGAACTCGCACTTCTTCATTTGAATTATGCTCAACAAGAAAATCGCCGTATTCCCACATTTGATGAATTGGCCCACGATTACAAGGTTCCTAAGTCCACACTCTGGCATCGGGATCATGGTCGGTGTAACGTGTTCGCACCGGGGTGCTAATCATGCTTCCAGGTACAATAGGAGTAGCGCACAAGTTGATCTACAACCGGTGGGCATACTGCGCTAAGGGAGGCTCCGAGAGGAAGATATAAAGAATAGGGACTTGAAGAGGTAACCGTTCAACCAAGTATATTAGAAATACTCTGTCCGTCGAAGTCTGCTGTTCCTTTAAGGAACTCAGCGGTCTTTAAATACAAGCTTCGTCCATGTCCTGCATGGACGGATTTCCAAATCCTCCATGAACAACCCATAAAACAAACTGAGTATCAAAGGATACTCGAAACCACAAGTAAAACAAACTGAGTATCAAAGGATACTCGAAACCACAAGTAAAACAAAACATAAAACAAATCCTTGAACCGAACGGACTAAACTCCAGTTCCGGTTACAGTCGGATTCCTATGAGTGAGCATGAGGAATCGAAACAATACTTGACTTCAGGTGAAGAGCAGGCTCTAGTTAATTGGTATCAACTCAATAAACTTCTATAGCAATAAGATATAGTTAGTTAATGAAATATTAGGTGTCTTGAGATGCAAGACTACTGCTTTCCACCACGTATATCGTTAGTGAAAGAAATGGCGATGTACCTATGCAGTAAACGCGATTCTGAGAAGGGTCGGTCTATCGGCTACAACTGGCACTTGTCATCTTTAGCACGGCATCCAGAGCTGGGAATCAAGTACAGCAGGCAGATTGAGCATGTTCGGGTAGAGGCACAACAAGACTATTTTATATTTGCAAAGTTTTTTGAGCAAGTATGTGCTCTCTTATACAGTAAATATTGTACATAACTAATTTAAAAAGTTTGAAGCAGCTATTTTGAAGTACAATATCGCACCAGAAAATCTTTACAACCTAGATGAAATTGGATATCTTATGGGTTTTACCCAATCCTGCCGAGTAATCTATGGTAAAGATCTACGACAACATAATGGAGCTTTACGTGTGATTGATGGTGGAAGAGAAATGGTAACAGTTATAGAGACCATTTGTGCTGATGGCTCTGAACTGCTGCCTATGATTATTTTTAAAAGCGATAGCGTGCAGGAAGAGTGGGTAGAAAATGGCCATCTTTCGATGCCCGATGGGGTACTTGTTAGTTCTTCTGAGAACAGCTGGACTGATCGCAAGAAAAGTCTACGATATCTTGAGCACTTTTTTGGACCAGGTACCAATACGGCGATTAAGGCTGATTACGGGTCTCAATTCCGTATGCTCCTATTTGATGGGCATTCTTCTCATATTACATGGGAGTTTATTCTTTACTGCCTACAAAACTGAATCGTCCCCTTCTGCCTACCTGCACATACTACACACAAGCTACAACCATTAGATGTTGCCGTATTCAGTTCTCTAAAACGGAAGTGGACTGACATAGTGTGGGAGAGGTTCCAGTGGGGGAACCATACTGTGAAGAAGGAAAGCTTTTGGGAGGTTTTACAGCAGGCACGAGTGGGAGGATTGACAAAAAAAAATATCCTAAGTGGCTTCGAGGCTACTGGTATTTATCCTTTAAATGCCTTAAAGATACTACAAACCCTTCCTGGATACGATTCCTATCAGCCAACCCAGATTCAATCTCAGACATCAACTCCATCATAATTATGAGCCTAGGACCCCGAAAACTGAGTTGGAGATTCTTGAGTTAGCCACTTTTGCCGAAAAAAGCATCTACCGAAACACTCCACGATCTCAAAAAGCCCGCGCCGCCATTTGCTTTCAAGTTCTAGCTCATTCCGCTTCTCTCCACTGCTCAACTCTAAATCTACATCACGAAACCGAACGGAAAAAACGACAGTATCTTATCAAAGATGGAATTAATGCCGGAAAAAAAGGTAAGAAAAGAATTAAGGTTGATAACTCTGCTATCTCTGCTGGTGATGTGAAGAAAATAATTCAAGCTAATTACAATGGTAAAATAAAAGTAGCAAAAAATAGCTTTGAATATTATACACAATTGTATAGTAGTACACAAACAAAATGTACAGAAATAGGAAATAAATTGAAGCAACAGCAAGAGAGAGAAAACAATAAAGCAGGAGGAGGCAAAAGGTATAAGTCTACAACTCAGCTGGGGGATGAGCAGAAAAAAATGGAGGAAAAAATGGAAAGGTATAGAAAATTGGTAAAAGAGAAGGAGAGTGCATATGGAAAATTGAAAGCAGAAGAGAAAAATGCCTTGGAAGGGTTGAATAATCTGGATATTGAATATGAAGAAGGAGAAGATGAAAGGGAAAAGCATGGTAGGAGGGAGTTGGATATCGGTATTGAGGTCGAAGATGGAGAGGATTTCTGTTAAGTATGGATTATTGTTGGAGGCCGTTGCAGTCTAACTGGTATTAAGCTACACCCTGTTTGGTCGTTTCGTGTCACCGTGTGTTTCGACTCACCGTGGGGTACGTTAACTAGCGAAGGAAGACGAAGAAGAGAGCTTCTCGTTACTGAGCTGGGTGGCCTTCTTCCCGTGTGAACCCTTGGCGTCTCGCTTCGCCGCTCTGCCGATCCGGCGCTGCTATCGCCTTCGTCGATCCACGAGACATGGGGCGAGAGAGAACGTCGATTCACTCGCCTGTTAACCTATGCGAAAAGGAAAAAGATTGGCTGATAGAATACTGTAAACAACACCCCTTCTGGCTCGAGCCTCGAGAATTCAATCACGGCCGAAGCCACAACAGACCTGGGGTGGAATTTTCATTGGTAGGGAGGTGCCGCACTTTTCTTGTTCCTAAATCTGCCTTGTCAAGCTACGGCGCCAGCCATCTCTATCTAGCATTCAAGCATATCACAAAACTCGCTAATCACGACTGATATGTTTCCCCCACCCAGTTGGTCAACCAACGACTTGTGGTAAGCCCAGCGCCCAGATTATCGATTGTTCGTCGGACTCCACTAACTCGCTGAATAGTGCCCGTCCGCATCTATCTGATTCTTGTCTCGCCCATCCTCTCTCCTTCTATGGGATCATGACCTCCAAGTGTAATCAAACGTGCAAAGGAGGCTTCTGCCGGAAAAGAGGGATCGGATCGAGTTTCGTATCTTAAAACTCTCTAAGTGTACAGTATTCGCGCTCCTAAACCCCGGCCGCTGGCAGGCTTATCGTACCTTTCATGAACTGGCACCGGTGATGCTGCGCGCTTCGAAAATCCCCGCTATTGCAGAGGCGAAGGTCTTGGGAACCAATAGAGTGAAGAGATCTCCTGCATATAATTAATTTGAGCAAGGTTCTTCATTGCGAACTGCCCTAGCGCGCCTCAGCCCATCTCAATTCATTAAAAGCGAGATCTGGTAGCACCTCATTTGGCCCGGAATCAGATGATATGCAATGTAATCGCTTAGTGGTTACCGTTGGAAATGTACTCGTACTGTACACGGGTGTCCTCTATAGTTACACAATCCGGCGGCACATCCTCCTATTCTCAACAGGAATAATCGGCATTTCCATCTGCTCCGGTTCACATCCTTGTAACGGCTGCACGCCTTAACTTGGACATCAGCAGTGTGCACAAAGTCGAGTAGAGCAAGGCAGCTGAATAGCTCCCTCCCGGGTTAAAAAAAAATGTGGCTTATCTGGGCACAAATCTCCCAGCTCATCACCTCTCACCTCCTGAAGCCATTTGCGACATATCTGCCCAGCGCACTTATCGCGTCATAAAGGCCGGCATCCTCCGTCAAAATATCGAGGTCGGTTGACCAGGGAATTGAGTTACCATCCTCATTTATAATAACCTAGCTATGGTTTCAAGACCCGCTTCGCTAGATTGCTCAATCCTCTCCCCAACTCTGACTGCCTTCCCAATATTCTTTAGTATTCGATTTTTTTTTCTTTTTCTTCGAAGCCCGTTCTAATCTCTCTACAATGCTGATATTCATCTTACTCCCCCTCTCTACGCATATTTGCAGAGCCCAGGCTGACCCCAACCGTCCAAGTATCACCCACCTCCACGCTCGCCAGGACACGGCAAACACCACAGCATTCCTTTCTACATCTACGGCCCAAGCTGGCAGCTGCACATCTCAAGGCTGGGCCCTATGTGGTACCGTTTGCATTGATGCTGCGAATGGGGAAACATGTTGTGACAACAGCAATAGCCATTGTACGTTATGTGCCCCCTTGGTTCAATGAGTAGCGATTAAACGCTCCAGGGTGTATGCCGGGAACCTACTGTTTCCTCGACAGTCTCTGCTGCCCCAACGGAGTGGATCCCAAAACATGCCTCGATGCCAGCGGTCCTGGACCTCCCACTAGCTCCACCGGGTTGTCCGGAACCACCCCCCTAAACAAAACATCGCCCGAGGGCCCATCCTCAGACTCCGACGCGGGTAGGAAGTCGGGGGCACCTTCGCCCAGCACGAGGGACGGAAGCGAAAGCGCTACAGCGCCAGTCACCACCACCTACGGCCCAATTACAGCCACCGTTGCCGGCAACCCAGTGACCTTGGCCTTCTCCGGGGAGGTCCTCCCGCTCCAAACCGTAGCCAATCGCAAGCCAGTCTCCAGAAAGTTTAAAGAAGCCGTGTTGGCAGCACTGGACAAGGACCCAGCTACTAAAGCATTCGGGGACCTTTTGACCCAGGCGCCATCAGCCTTTGAGGGTCTCGGGGAAAAAAAGGAATACTACCTCTTCGTTCCAACGTCCCAATTCGTTGTGGACTACCTCACGCGTTCGAAAGAAAATCCACCCCGATTGGCCCACCGCGAGGTGTTCGTCGACCCCAATATGAGCCAGCAATTCGCGGAGAAGCCCAAGGGTGGTCCGAATATCAAGCGCGAGTCTATCACCCTCAAGACAACTCTGGTGGGCGAAACCAAATATTCCGACCTCGGCGAGGGTGAGGGCGCTCGCGTGGTCTCAAATCCCATAGTGAACAAGAACGGTTCTATCCAGATCGTCTCCGGACTCGGGCGTTTGACCTTGGTGCACCCCGAGGAGATACCTTTTGAGGATGGTGTCATTATGAAGTGCGACGGGTAAGCACCCCGCTGCTCCCATCCCGGCCGGTGTAGCAGTAGCGGCAGCTCAGGGAGCTAACACTGCTAAAGCTTTTTCACCCTCCCACTCCCGATTGAAGCCACCTTTGCCAATACCAGCGGCCACTTATGGTCCACGGCAATGGAGAAGGCGAATATTTTGAAGCAGGTATCGGAGAAACGAATGGTGACAATATTCGCCGTTCAGGACTCCGCCTTGGACGAGGCAGATCTACCCGGGTCGGCCGAGCTGAGCCGGCACATCCACGACGGCCTTTCCTACACGCCCGACATGAGAGATCAGCCCTGCTTGCCCACGAGAGATGGCGGTTCGGTGCGCATCACCACAGAGGGCAATGACAGATTCGTCAACGGCGTCCGGATCTCCACGTCCAATGTTATTGCCAGGAATGGTGTCATCCATTACGTGGAGAAGAAGGTACGTTACACACTCCCTACTCCCGCGAAAACCCCTTACTAAGTGGGGTTTAGATTCCTCCGGCAAGTAAATGCCCAGACTCTAAAGGGGGTGGTCCCAGAAAGTCTGCCAGCTCAACCGCTACCTATTCTATGGTAGCCGTTCTTGGCCTATCGGCTGCCACCCTTGCTGTATATTTGTGGGTGTAAAGCTGTGAACCGATTAGGAAGGAGATTGTATGGATAAGGATGGCTACCCTCTATATGTACGGTAGCAGAATTTGGGGGAAGGCCGTGGGGGAATTGCGAACGGCATAAACAGTGAACCCCCCGGAAAAGGCTAGCGCAGGGGTAGTAGAATTAGTTGTAATCGAGGGAGCAGCTTAGCTGCTATAATGCTTCCTATGACAATATGATACCTTGAGCGACTAGCAACCTATATTGCATTGATGTCCCTTGGGCAGCCAGCGCAGGACTGTCACTGATGGTGATGGTACTATCGGATGTGAGCCAGCAGGTCACACACCACGCAGCTCCGCTTAGGTTCATTCCTCGTACCGCCTTCCGGAGACGAAGGGCGATCATTCTCTCTACCAGTGAAAGTGTGGATCATAGTTGTTAGAAGGACTTGCACGAGAGAGTGCACGAAATTGACAAGCAGTTTCTAATAGCCAGCCTGTTTTGGGCTTAAAATCCCCATTTAGCTTTTCGCCGGCCCACGACTGCCGTGCAGCTCACAGATTCCGGGGGTCCAGGGGGGCAAAAAAAAAAGCAATTTTTAATGTTAGATTACTGACAAACTTCCTGCCTCGTCCAGGCTGTGCACGGTTTTTTCTTTTACGAGGACAGCGCTTAAAACCGTGGAGATCCCGGGGGAGTTGGAATGATTTGCTCCAGAGGTAGCCGGTGTCGAACCTGCAGCCCAATAGCCAGTGTTCGCAGGCTGCCAGTGATCACTAAAAGTGAGGTGGACATAGACCTTCCAGGACCTGCCTTTCGGGAGTCCCAGCTTTATTTATCTGACATGGCAGAGTCGGGAGTCATTCCACATAAATCAAGTTGTAAGTGTATGCCGGGTCAATTGTGAGCAGGTATTCTCAGATTTCTACAGGCACCTACAAATACTTATTCCGCGAGTTCAGGCTTGAGTCATGGCGTGGAAAACCAAAGCCTTTCCGATAGGTTTACCGGCTTGAAAGTGATGGCGGTAGAATGACGTGGTCGCTCGGGCACAGGATCTGAGGAAAAGAGAGAAGATTTTCCATACTCAGACAAACATGTAACTAATGACCTGTATAATATATACATAACCCCTCCGCTGGGGTAGAGCCCCATACAAGCACCACATCTGGGGCATAACCGCATACAGATAGTCCACTTCCTGTCCATCACACATGCCCACCTTTGTCCCATAGCAGGATTATACTACCACCAGAAAGCTGTCAAGATCGCGGAAAAGGCTCCTGCCATCATACATATCCGGATAATATAGACAAGCTACTTACACATCATTAACCATTGCTTTATTGCCAAGATATCTCTTCCACCGCTTGTCTGTCACTACGCACTCTGACATATTTCGTTAAGCACCCTATTTGAATTTGAGTTCGCGGTCGCACTCACTCTGGTCTGCTTGCGTCACGTTTCTCTCCTGAGGAACTGTTAAACAGGCTCTCCTCTACTGAGTCCACTCCATGGCTCGCCAAACACTCTTCACCCTAGTTATCCTGTATTGCAAACTGTGTCTTATTTCTGTGGCGCTGACCTCCGGGTTGGATAGACTAACAGGTATGCTAGGAGCGCTGCCTAAACAGGTTGTACGCGGGGCGGGAGATAGAAATGAGTGTTCGCTCTTGACATGCACCAAGTTCTGCCCCTAACAATCTTCTAACCCCACATCAATGAGTGGTAGCGATGTGGATGCAAATTGTGCTAGTATAGCCATGGATAAGCAACGCCTGCTGGAGCAAACTACAGTATTCCAATCAATCGAGGCGAGTAGTACACGTCCGGAAAACTCCCTGAGGGTAGAGCAGTTATTCTCAGCCACGCAGTGGGTGCAGGTCTCCAGGTGTCCACGGTCTAGCCAGGCACGACCAAATGTGCCCTAGAAGCCCGTACTTACCCCATCGCACTACCCGGCCGACCATTTGCGTCGACGTCCAATAGCACCTACCCAGATAGTGTATATATATCCCAGGAACCGCATGCTCTATGATTGGGAAGTCTTAGCCCCCTCAATCGCTGCCGCGATTCGTCTCACATATCCACCATTTCCCCTTCCCCGCATCTCCGGGTCCTAGGGTAGTCTCACTTCGTAGAGGGATTGCTTTAATCAAGTCATCGGTCCCATCGTGGTCAACCTCCCCCCCCCACGCGCACTCCTAAACGCTAGCAACCCAATGTTAATCGTCAATTTTGGATAATCACGCTAGAGATATCTCGAAGCTGCATCCGAATGTTCCCTTCAATCATAAGTACAATCTACTTTCTAATCTCGGGTGTTACCGCTAATAGTCGCCCAGGAGGAAGTAATCCCCAGTTTTTACACGGCCCAGCTCTTCTGCTTGCTTGGCAGCTTCATGTATCCGCAGCTTTGGATTTTCTCTCCAAGATTCTGAAACTCTAATTCAGGATGCTGGTGGTGATTGTGGTAATGGAGGGTAGGTATTTCGACGCCCCCGTGTTCACGCTGCTCTAGAGAATCCCTAGGGTGCCAAGACATTCTCAATGTAGATAGGGGGTTAGCTAAAGATATCGGTATCATCAATTGTCACTCGCCCTTCTGTCATCATGGGGAGTCATTCGGTCCCCGGGATAACATGCACGGACCCGCAAAACGCGCAGTTCCAGTAACCTTGCTCATTGGCAGAGCTCGGGTTCTCTAGATGCCCTTGGTTCGCGATCTGCTGCATCTCACTCACCTGCCAACTAGATTGTATTTCTCTTCCTAGCACATCCTACCCCGATGTCAAATTTTCTGGAAACATCAGGGCTGTGAGGTAGCGTTTGGCGCCCCCCTGAACTGGGCCAGCCGGCGGTATCGAGAATCCCTAGATATGAGGGCCATGGGATAATTGTTGCTCACTCGCTTCTAATGGTTGCCATTCCCAGTGTCCATGCTATTAATTTTAACTTCCCAAAGTATTGCCCATGCTGGGGTTATCTGTCTTCCGCTCCATGTCGACCCGACGCAGTGGTGATGCCTTCCGAGAGTCTTTGTGTTAACCTCCCGCTAAGGCTGAGAAGAATAGGAGGAAATTCCATACCGGAAGTTGTACTAGATCATCCCCGGAACCGATCAGGCGCCATGCGCTATGACGGGGGTAAATTTTTATCGATGACGGGGATCAATTAGAAGAGGGCGAGTAGAATTACCATCACCTCCGATCGAAACAAATTTTGGCCTCCCCGATACCAAGACACATCCACCTCTGAAAAAATATTCCTACTATCATACCTTCCCAGTATCCCGGTTCTGGTCAATACAGGGACGCACAGCACAGATCCGGCCCAGGTGAGCGCAGGCGCCAAGAGAGCCCCGATTCATCTCTACGTCGAGAGGGCGAAAGGTCTATATAGAGAGGGGTGATTGAGTAGTCTATCCGAGCGCTTTAACATTCGACCCGTGGGATCACCTATAACTTATATCCTATTCCTATTACCCCTTCTATACACTTTCCACTACTCATTCCGTTTTAGCGTAAGGGTGCCTTTCTGGTTACCGGAGGCTTACGGCATCAGTCGCTACGAATACGGACTCAAAGTAGAACCCCAGAGCCAGGAGAATTACCCGAGTGATCGATCATGTACGGTCTATAATATTTTTGTGCCCTGAGACTACGGTACCCGAGATCTGCGCTTTTTTGTGGGCCTTAGCATTGAAACAACCTAATATCATACCCATGCAATTCGTGAGCACCGTAGTGATCTGGATAAGAGTGGGGGGGGGGGCGTACGGGGGAGCAAGAGCTCTATAGAAACTAGAGGGGAGTTACAGGAAAGTGAGGGGGGTTGAAATCGATAGATAGATAAACCGAGTCGAACAATAGGGTGATCCAATTGTTAGTGCGATAGGTATGGGCGGAACAGCAGGTCTGAGACCATATCAGTCAGACCATTAATGCAAGAGGCCCTCCGTAGTAAACAAACGAACGAAAACCAATAGCATAGGGTAAGGAGGCCAGGACGAATTGTGTTCCCATAGGAGAGTTTCCGAATTGATGAGATGCAAGCCAAGTAGATCTAAATTGCCGGGAAATTCTGAGTGTTCAATGGAGTCTTTCGATGGTCACCAGGCCGAATAACTGGAATTAGCACCCTTATTAGGCTAATTTCTATGACCCATAAAGGGCAAACAAGTCCCAGCTCATGTCATGATACCGGTAGTACCAGTTCCACATTCCCGGGAACGCTACCCTGATACGGCATGGGTCAGGAAGGAAAAGAAAGAAAAAAAGAAAAAAGAAAAACATGGATTGGCTACCATGCCACAGAGAAGGACGGGGTATGGAAAACCTCAAAATTTATTGCCCCACTCGATTATCCCCCTCCTCAGGTATTTTCGCAACACCGGACTAGAGCTTCCTTACTGGGTGGGGTTATTCCGGCCTCACTTTTTGGAAAAGAAAATGTAAGCCCTTCGCTCCATTCACCCAATCACCGAAATGGAGTGGGGAGGATAGCGCTGGAGCATGAGATATGAAGCGATTACCCCCGCCGCCCGCAATACGGGGATTAGGGAGGAAATACAGGAATGTTAGGGGTAATGTACAGCGAGCTGTGCGGGCAATGTTGCTCGGACCCACGCAGGGGGGGTGTAAGAGCCCGCGGGTGTTTTTCGTTCTAGGTTACTTAACTTATTAGACCATGGCCAGTCCATGGGACACACTTAATGGGGTCACCTCATCCACTTCTTTCAGTTTGACAGATGGGCATTATCGCCAAGATGTGACTCCCCAGCTAGCCTCAATGACTATCATTTAGCTATAACTCGCCAAATATCATACTAGACTCGACCCCGATCGGGCGAATTCCATTGAGATATATAAATACTCTAGAGCACCGAGTGCAAAATAGATACTGCGCGGGAAGCTCGAAGGACCGAGAGAAATAGAGGAGAGGCGGATAATGTGGGTCAAGACAATGGAAAACGGAGAAAATAGACCCAATTCGAGGGAAACCTTTACAAAACGGAAAGTACACATTATAGTATTAGTGCCACACACTCTTATGCCCTGCTCGGATAAATACAAGTGATGTTACTGCGAGGGAGAAACGTCAATACTAAAGCCTCAGAGATTCTCGTTCGAGTAGATGTGGGACGACAGGGGAAAAGACCCGCTTCATGGGTAGATTCCGGAAAATGAAAAAGCAAAAGAAACAGAGGAGGTAGGTCTAAAGAGAGATCTCCGGAGGAATGGCTGGCAAGCTGAGGTGGGGTTCCTAACCGTCCAACAGGGCAGGATCACCACGGAAACTTTTCAAACACTTCCGAACGTCCCCAGCAATTCTTACTACCTGAGCAAGATTTTTTAAGCCCTGCATACGAGCAAACAGATAGGCACCCCGGACAAACAGCATCTTCCTGTGCTAATCCTTACCCCAGTCCCAATACCTCGAAATCGGTAACGCGAGGACGGAGATAATGCTGACGGCCGGCAGAACCGAGATGGTAACCAAAACCCACAACCGTGGTGTCATTACCCGCAGCGTGGAGACCGCAAAGAGGTCAAACCCTTCCTGCGGCCGTCGGGCGCCATTCTCGGCCGCACTATGGAGGTTTCGCCGATCGCAGACAAACGATCATTTTTTGCGGAACCTGTGTGCCGACTAATGGGGTATTTTAAAGAGGTCGGCACACATATCGTATCCCCCGGAGAAGCTCGCTGGTAATCATCATACCTGACTTTTGAGAAATGCACCGTTACTGAATGCTACCAAAATCCTAACCCCCTCGGCGAGTTCCCGACAATATGCAATAAGTCGGCAGTCGGCATCATAAATGTCAGACCCATTACCGGTTACTCGTACTGTATGGTTCATGCAATCCAAAACGTATACCAGATTTTTAGCAGTTTTTAAATGATTATATGTCAATGTCTATTCCATGTAGATACTTAAAAAAAACCACTACATGAGAGAGCTGATTCGGGAGACCAGCCTGGTGGTTTTTGTCATAATAATTCTGAAGAATGCAAGCATGTTACACATAGCCACAACTGAATTACCGTACCAAGTTCCGGGAATATTTGGCTTAGTCAGAGAGGTTTTATACCAGGTATACCGGGATCAGGCCTTAGCAGACAGGGTTAGAGATATTCTTTGCCTATCATAATATATTAAATTTAATAATAATAGATCAAGTTTTTACGTCAACCCATCCTATCACACATTTCACTATATTAGTTATGATCAATGCATGATTCTGAGGTTAGTTCACCTCTAGGCTAATTCGAAAATATGTGCAAAAGGTGGACCGTATTATGAATGCATAATGTGAGGGTGTTAGTTATAATTCTGAGACCCTCTAAAGGGTGGTACAGCATAAACACAAAAGCCACCATGGAATTTCTTAGGCAGAGAGGGAACTTTGGCAAACTCTTATCAGAATAAAACTTACTGTATTCAGAGGCAATAATACCGGTATCTAGATTTCACCTTTTATTGCTATCGTGTTACATGTATTTTACAAGTACAACAAACCATAAAAGGAGGGGCACATCACCTAACCCCAAATGGAACTCTCGGCGTTTCAGCCCACCCAGCCATGTCACATTCAAACTTCAGCCTACTGTACAGTAGTACTCGAGTATACATTTTGGATTCCACGAACCAGACTCCAGCGTTGACATGTTCCCTGTCCCCTGTACGAGTTCGGGTACTCGGCAGCTTAATCGAACCCAAATGCCCGCACAACTTATCAAATCTCCGAGCCCCGCACCGCAATCGACAAAGCCTAGACCGGGTGCCTTGTCTGGAGAAACTTTCACCCGGCAAGTGCCGTATCTTGGATTCGAGTCCCGATACGAACATATTTTCTTCCATGAATGATGACTCTTTTTTTTTCGGGATTTTCTTGCCCGGGGGAAAGTAGCGTAAAATTTAGCTTTTTGTGTCGCTAAAGTCTTAAACAGACTTGGCGTGACTGGCAAGCGTGGGCTTTTTGAAAGGTTCCGCTATCGCAGGAGCTCCGGTAGTGGATGAATGTACGGTACTCGGACGTCGCAGCTATCTCTCCTAAGGAGGCGCCACGCATGCTTGTTTCGTCCTATCTCAGCTAAGGTTGTCCCACCCAGGTGTTGGAGGGGGGGGGGGGCTCTAACATCCTTAACGCGCCTTGTTTCCGCTCGGGTTCTCACGATATTTGGTGCCATATTCATCGCACCGCTGGCGAGACTGCACCGAGGGACACACGGGGATTGGGGAGGCTGTAAAAAGAAACAGGAACCCCGCAGTCCGGGAGTCCACTCATTCCGGGCCAAAGGTTCCGCGCAACATGGGGCGCGTTTGGATTGGTTCGCGGATAGGCACTTTAATCCCCCATTTTCATGCACTTGCGATGCGGGACAAGTGCCCAGGCGGCAAGCGATCGAACGATAATACGGGGCCGGATAGGGAGGAGGAATGAATGGGCAGGGAGGGGATGACTTACTCCGTACGGTGATGGCCAGGCTACGGGCATTGACAGCCCTTTCACTCTTGCCCCGAGTTGGCGGGGTAACCGGAGAAATGTGCACCCGCTGATCTTCCACGCAATACCGTATGCCAATCTTCACTGTGCACTCTACACCTATCTAGCAGATAGATTCAGTAAATCCCTTTCGATAGAGAGCCCAACCTAATAATTCACATACGGTAGTTGAATATCAGACTACAGGAATTGTTCCGCAAAACTCAAAAATATTGAGTTCAGAGGGTGCGGCTGAAATCCGTGCCAAGACGAGGAATTTGCACTAGGAGGCCCGCATCACGTCTCTGCCAGTATTTAGGACTAGTAATAAAAGCCAAAACAATGTTAAACTCCCCCTATGGACCCCCCTCGTATTTTCCAAGCTCGGTGATAAAACACTGTGGTTGTTTCCAGTAACTCATTAAGAATCAGGATTATTTATGGGGAGCGAGAATCGGGGGAGCGGGGGGGGCACGTTTGTTATATTGCCAAGACCTCACAGTCCAAACAGAACGCCTCATATTGGCACGGTGCACCAGTGTTAGAAATCGCGCGGTGCTTATCTCATGCATGATAGTTGGTTTCTTCAGATAGCTGTGGGAACACACCCTGCCTTCAGGCATGTTTTGGCTCTTGGGAGCGCATTCTGGCCGCAGGGAATGAATGCATGGAGGTTTTGGATCAATGCATCCGCCGGAGGGAATGGGGAAAGGCTGTGAGGAAAACCGGAAAATCAGGTGCCTGGAGTGTTGCATGTCCAGAGGTTACAGACGGTGGGAGTTTGTCCTTCCTTTGTCAGCACGGGAGTCAGAGGAAGGGGAAGGGGAGGCATACGAGTAATAGAATGGACATGTGTGGTAGTCCATGGAGGAATAGAAGGACTTGATTGTTGTTGACATACTCCCGTGTTTACCGTTAGCTGGTTAGCGAAGGAAGACGAGGAGGAAGAGAACTTCCCCGCTCCTGAGTTGTGCCATAGTTCTCGTGTGCGAACTCCCGGCACCTCGTTCGGCCGTTGCCATCGTCCTCGTCGATCCACCTTCAAAAGCCAGGGGACGCAAGAGGCGTGAAGAAATGTCAATCCTCTCACCCGCCGACCGACGCGAAGAGGAAAAAGATTGGCTGATAGAATACTGTGAACAACACCCTCTCTGGCCCGAGCATCGCGAATTCAACGAGCACCCAACCCACAACAGACCCGGGGTGGAATTTTCACCCGAAGGGAGGTGTCGCAATTTGCTTGTTCCTGCGTTGTCAAGTCACACGCCCAGCAATCACTTGCATTCCAGCATATTAATACCACAAAACTCGCTAATCAAGACTGAGAAATTTATCCCTTCCCCGCCCAGTTGGTCAACCACCGACTCGGGGTAGTCTAAGCTCAGCGCCCAGATGTCGGCTGTTCGTCGGGCTCCACTGACTCGCCGAACAGTGCCCGTCCGCATCTCTCTAGCTCTCCTTCCATGGAATCACCACCTCCAAGTGTAATCGAACATGCAGATGGGTCTTCTCCGGCAAAAGGGATCGGATCGAATTTCTTCCCTTGAATCTCTCTGGGCGTGCGGTGTTTGTGCTTCTAAAGTCCCGCTACTGATAGGCTGGTTCTCGCTCGGCTCCTTTGGTGGGGCCCTCTCGTGCCTTTCGTGAACCAGCGCCGGCGGTGCTGTACAGTACGTTCCGGAGACGAAAATCTTGGGAACCAATGGAACAAAGAGATATCCTGCATATAATTAATCCGAGAAAGCTTCCTGATTGCGGACTTCCCCAACGCACCGTAGTCCATCTCAATCCATCAAGTTAATAGCGAGATTTTGTCGCGCCTCGGGTTGACACCAGAATTCGATGATATGCGATGTGGTCGCTTAGTGGTTACCGTGGTAAATGCGAACGGGTGTCCTCTACCGGTATACTGGTACCGGTACTCGTAGCTACGCAATCCGCCGACCTATTATATCCTCCTATTCTCAACAGAAATAATTTAATGGTCACTCCGATTTGCTCTGGTTTACATCCCAGTAACGGCCGCACGCCTTAACTTGGATATCAACAGCGTGTGCGAAGTTGAGTCGCACAAGCCAACCAGATAGCTCTCGCCGGGATTGAAAAAACGTGGCTTGACTGCTCGCGAATCTCCTTCGCTCATCACCTTTCACTCCCTGGGGCCATGTGTGACACATCAGCCTAGCGCACCTGTCGTGTCATAAAGGCTTGCCTCCTCCGTCGAAATCTGGAGGTCGGTTGGCCTGGGGGTTGCGTGATCATCCTCATTTATAAAAACCTAGCCATGGTATCAAGAAAGAGCTGTACCGTTAGATTCCTCAATCCTCTCTGACTGCCTTCCTGATACTCTCCAGTATTCCGCTCCTTTTTTCTGAACTCCCTTCTCACACCTCTGCAATGCTGATATTCCTCTTCTTGCTCCCCCTCGCTGCGCATATGGGCAACGCTCAGGCTGACCCCAACCATCTCCCCCGCCTCCGCGCTCGCCAGAACACGGCAAACAGCACGGCATCCCGTCCCACAAGTACTCGTACGAGTGCATCTCCCACCCGAGCCGGCAGCTGCACATCTCAGGGCTGGGCTTCGTGTGGTAGCGTTTGCATTGATGTCGCGAAAGGCGCAACATGTTGTGACACCAGAGCTAGCTATTGTACGTTACCCACCCCCTGGATTAATGAGTAGCGATTAAAGGCTCCAGGGTGTATGCCAGGAACCTCCTGTCTCTTCAACGGTATCTGCTGCCCCAACAAAGTGGATCGCGGAGCATGCGCCAGTATCTCCAGTCTTCAACTTCTCGGCAACATCGGGTCTTCCACATCCGTGGCCCTGAAAAAAACATCTCCAAGCTCCGTTAAGAATACAAAGGTGCCCACCTCGTTCCCCACGGTCGACGAAGACATGGTGGCGCCAAAAAAAGCAGCGCCATCCACCACCACCTACGGCCCCATTACAGCCACCGTCGGCGACAACCCTGTGACCTTGGCCTTCTCCGGGGAGGTCCTCCCGCTTCAAACCGTAGCGAATCATAAGCCGGTCCCCGGCAGGTTTAAAGATGCCGTGCTTGCAGCACTGGCCGGGGACCCCGATACTAACGCATTCGGGGACCTGCTGGCCCAGGCGCCATCAGTCTTTGAGGGCCTCGAGGAAGGAAAGGAATACTACCTCTTCGCGCCAACAACCCGATTCGTTGTGGACTTCCTCATGGGTTTGCAAGACCATCCACCCGGATTGGTCCCCCGCAAGGTGTTCGCCGACCCCAACCTGAGCCACCAGTTTGCGGAGAAGCCCAAGGACGGTCCGGATATCAAGCGCGTGTCTACCACCCTCAAGACGGCTCTGGTGGGCAAAACCAAATATGCCGACCTCGGCGAGGGTGAAAGCGCTCGCGTGGTCTCAAATCCAACAGGGAGCGGGGACGGTTCTGTTGAGATCGTCTCCGGACTTGGGCATTCGACGTTGGTGCACCCCGACGAGATACTCTTCGAGGGTGGTGTCATCATGAAGTGCGACGGGTAAGCACCCCGCTGCTCCCATTCCGGTGCAGAAGCAGCAGCAGCTCGCGGGGCTAACACTGCTAAAGCTTTTTTACCCTCCCACGCGCGATTGAAACCGTCTTTGCCGGTACTAGCGGCCGATTATGGTCCACGGCATTGCAGAAGGCGGATATGTTGAAAGAGATATCGGGAAAATCAAAGGTGACAATATTCGCCGTTCAGGATTCCGCCCTAGACGAGAACGAAGATCTACCCGGGTCCGATCTAAGCCGGTACATCCACGACGGCCTTTCCTACACACCAGGCATGAGTGATCAGCCCTGCTTGCCGACGAGAGATGGCGGCTCGATACGCATCACCACGGAGGGCGACGACAGATTCGTCAACGGCATCCGGATCTCCACGTCCAATGTCTTGGCCAAGAATGGTGTCATCCATTATCTGGAGGGGAAGGTGCGTTACACATTCTCTACTCCCGCGAAAACTCCTTACTAAGTGGGGTTTAGATTCCTCGAGCCGATAAATGCCCAGACCCCCAGAAGGATCCTACCGATGATTCTGCCAGCTCAGCCGTGCCCCTTTCCATGCTAACCGTTCTTGGCCTATCGGCCGCCAGCCTTGCTATGTATTTGGGCGTGTAAAGCTATGGACCGGTTATGGAGGTGATTGTGTCGATAAGGATGATTACCCTCTAGATGTATGATAGCCGGATTTTGGGGGGGGGGGGGGGGGCATGGGGTAATCGCGAACGGTATAAGCAGTGAACTTCCAGGCAAAGGCTGGCGAAGGGGTAGTGGAATTAGTTGTAATCGAGGGAGCAGCTTTGCTGCTATGATGCTTCTTATGACAATATGATACCTTGAGCGACTAGCAACCTATATTGCATTGATGTCCTTCCAGCTATCAGCGCAGGACTGTCGGTGATGGTGATGGTACTATCGGATGTGAGCCAGCAGGTCACCCACCGCACAGCTTCGCTCTTTTAAAGGAAACGATAGCGACAGCGAAAACAAACCAACAGCGAAACGAAAGGCGAAACAGATTGTGAAACGGGGCACAGACGAAACGATCGCACAACTCAGGGGCGGGGAAAAACTCTTCACTTTGTCTACTCTCACGCTCTCTCTCGTTACTAACTAACGGTAAGGGTAGGAGAGTATATATCAACAACAAAACAACCAAGCCCTGTCCTCTCAGGTATGTCCCCCACTCACTCCCAAACAAAAGCTAACAAAGGAAAGACAAACTCCCACTGGCCATAGCCTCCGGACAATGGACTCTCTGGCCTTCCTTAGAGCCTTCCTGCTTTCCTTATGGCATTCCCGCTTTCCTTCCGGCGGATGTATTGCTCCAAGACTCCCGCGCATTTCCGCAGCCAAAGCGCCCTCCCGAAAACCCAAAACGCACCCGGAAGCCAAAGTGCATCCGCAGCCAGAGTGCGCTCCCAGAGGCTATGCGAACAAACAAACTATCGTGGGAGCATGTCGAGAAGCAAAACACGAGATTTCCAACACGCTCAGGTAGCTTTACTGCCCTCCTGCAGCCTTCCGACTAGTCGATCGGAGCTAGTGGGCCCCGGTAAGTACCAAGACCTGTCAGCGGCCTGCACCCGGAGCCGCGAGCGGGATAGCACAACTTCTTGTACTGCAGAATATACCCCTTATACCCGGTCTAACATCCATATATTGACGGGGCCCATGATAACCCTTTCCTCAATCATCAGCATTTCCCCCGATTAGCGGTTGCCCACCGTGGTAATTTTTATTCACCCAATATTTTATCGAGAATCACCGGCTCTCACTTGCCCATCGCGAAGCTTGGATTTGTGACATCAGAACCCTAGCGCTCATTCCTCGTACCCTCTTCTGGGGACGAAGGGCGGTGATTCCGTCTACCGGTGAGCGTATCGCTTAGGACCTTGTTGGAAGGGTGTCGGGGGTGGGGTGCGCGGAGTTGGCGAGCAGTTCCTGATGGTGAAATATTTTGTGCGTGAGATCCCCATTTATCTTGCGGCTGGTCCACCATTACCATGCCTCTCGCAGATGCCGGGGGCCCACTCCCGACGGGCAAGAATGAAAGAAGGGTTAATGTTGGACTGCCGGCAACCTTGCTGCGTTGCCCAGGCTATGCCCGGGGGGGGGGGTTCCCTTGTAATTAGGACAGCTCTTAAAATGGTGGAGATCCCGGGGGAGTTGGAACGATTTTCTCCATAGGTAGCTGGCTTGGAACCTGCAACCCAATAACCAGGGTCTACAGGCTGCTAGTGATGACCAAGGGTGAGGTGGACATAGGCCTTCCAGGACCAGCCATTCGGGACTGATGGAGTCGGGAGTCTCGACATTGGCCAGGTTGTAAGTGCGTACCGGGTGGTCAATTGATAGCAGATATTCCGAGATATCTACAGGCACCTATAACTAATACACTTATTCGGCGAGTTCACACTCGAGTCATACGCGTGGAAATCAAAGGCACCCCGATAGGTTTACTGCCTTGGAAGTAGTCAAGAAAGCGGAAAGATTTCCTAGCACTATACGTATTTGGAGAACGTGGACAAGTTACTTACACATCATCAACCATGGTTTGATAGCCAAGATATATCTTCAACTGTCGAGTGACATTTCACACTCTACCATTTCCCTTAAGGACCCTTAAGGACCCTATTGGAATTTGAGTTCCCCGCCTCAATAATTCTAAGCAATATACCGTGACCATGGGAGTCACCTACTGATGTATAAACTTCTCCGTAAAGATCGCTTTCTTTTCTCTCCTTTCGGCCCTGTATATCAAAATCACGAACGCCTGATAGCTGTACGGGTCCGACATCTCACTTTAGTTTGCTTGCTTCAGGTTCCTATCCGGGGGAACAGTTAAACAGCCTCTTCTCCACCGCCTGGCTCTCCCAGCGCTCTTCATCCTAATCATCCTGTATTGCGAAATGTTTCTTCTTTCTGTGGCACCGATTGTCAGGTTGGGTGGCCACTATTCAGGAGGCTGGCGAGTATGTTGAGAGCCCTGCCTAAACGGGTTTTACGCGGGGCGTGAAAGAGAAATGACCGTTTCTTCTTGACATGTACCAAGTTCTGCGCCTTGAGATCTCCTAATCCCCACGTCAATAAGCGAGAACGCGAATTGTACTAGTATAGTAACAGATATGCAGCGCCTACTGGAGCATGCCACAGTATTCCAATCAGTGTGAGTGAATATGTACAGTACTGTACACGCCCCAAAACTCCCTGAACTCAGAGTAGTCATTCCCGGCCCACGGTCCGGAAAGGCGGGGCGAAATGTGCCCTGGAAGCCCCAATTTACCCCATACATAACACGGCCCGGCGGACCATTTGCGTCCACGCCCAATAGCACCTCCCCAGATAATGTATATATCTCTCGGGAAATTCTTATAATACGATCGGGCAGTCTTGGCACCCCCGATCGCGTGAGCGATTCGTCTTAAACATCTACCACTGCTTCTTCCCACCACCTCCGCCTCCTATTGTAGCCTCACTGCGTGGAGGTATTGCTTTAATCAAGTGATCGATTTCATCCCGTTCAACCCCCCCCCAACTCCTAAACGCTATCAACTCAATGCTGGGTATAAATCCCGGATAAAAAATTAGCGCTATCCCGAAGTTGCGTCCTGTTATTCCCTTCAATCATAATTACGGTGTGCTCTCTGATCTCGGGTGTGCTACTAATAGTCGCCAAGAAGGAAAGAATCCCCGGTGTTCACGCGGCCCGGGTCTTCTGCTTGCTTGATGGCTTTCATGTATCTGCGGCTTTGGATGGCAGATTTTCTCTGCAAGTTTCTGACACTCAAATTCAGGACGTTGAAGGTGATTATGGCCTCTAAAGAATACCTAGGGCACCAAGACTTTCTTAATCCGACGGGGGGTTAGCTGAAGATTGGTGTCATAAATTGTCACTCGCCCTTTTGTGGTCATGGGGAGTCATTCGCCCCCTGGATAATATGCAAGGACCTGCAAAACGTGCTGTTCCAGTAGGTTTGCTCATTGGCAGACCTCGGGTTCCTTAGTTACCATTGGTTTGCCGTCTTCCGCACCTGAATCACCCGCCAACTGTATTATATACCGATTGGCCGATTCCCTAACTCGCACATCCCACCCCAATATTAAATGTTCTCGAATAATTAGGACTGTGAGGCAGCATTCGGCACACCCGGAGCCGGGACAGCTGTCTGTTTTGAGAGCCCCCAAAGTTGGGGACCGCGAGATAACCGGTTCTCACTCGCCCATAATGGTCGTCATTACCGATGTCCCCGTTATGAATCTTAATTTCCCAAATTATTGCCCTTCCCGGTATTAGCTGTCTTCTGCTTTATGTTGGTCAGATACAGAGGTGACTCTTCCGCCAATTGGAATGAGGCCCTTTGCGTAAATACCCCGCTGAGGCAGGGAAGAATTGAGGGAAATTCAATATCCTAAGTTGGTAAGGTCATCCCCTGAACCGATCAGGCGCAAGCAGGTGTTTCATGGTGAGCTGCCATCTTGGGGGAAACCGCGATGATATGGGTTAAATTTTGTCGACGGCGGGGATCAATTGGTATAGGGCACGTAGAATTACCACCGCCTCCTATTGAAACAAATTTCGACTTGCCTGGCGCCAGGGCGCGTCCATCATTAAAAAAAAAAAAATCCTATTATCACACAATACCCCCCTAACAGTATTTCGGCCTTGCGAGGAGATATAACACACGAGCACATGCCCTAGAGACAGCGGGGGCAGTGCAATTGCGGATAGCTTGGCGCCGATGCGACCGATGGGCCAGGCCCTGTACCTAGATCAAACTATAGACTTTTGTTTTTTTTTTTAAAAAAAAAAAGTCCACCCCGGTATCCCACCCTACAGGGGATAAAAGTAGTTCTCCTTTTTGACACTTTTCCACCTCCTCCCATGCAGCCACCGCAGGGCCCCGGTGGGACATATACGAAGATATCTTGTTATTGTCCTGGTTCTGGTTTTTTGAAAACTAGGTGTAGATACTCAGCGGATTCAGAGTTCGGATGCAGATATGAATAGGTCAAAATAGATTGTATAGATTTGAAGTGAAAAAGAGAGTGAAGCAGAACGTATCGAGAAGGCAAGAAAGAAAAGAAAAAGAAAAACGAAATCACTAACAATAGTGAATGGTGAACGAGGAAGCACAGAAGGGACGAAGATGAAGTGACAGATGATATAGAAAACATAGTGGAGGAAATTCCTCCTTTATCTACCCAGTTCTCCCACTGCCTTTCTTTCCATATTCCTCCTTCAGATGAACGAACAAGAACCTGCTTGTTTATTCTGGTCGGTGAAGTGGTGTGTAGTCGGGTGGTGTTGAAACTGCTTGCTGTTTGGAAGTTCATAACAGCGCGACGAAGGAGGTTTATCGGTGTCGGAGGCTAGTGGAAATTGTAACACAGCAGTTGATAGCGGTTTGAACCGATCGATAGTGTGACATGAGATGATTCGGTCGTGTATGATTGTGGATTGGTAGGTGTTGCAAAATGCTAGTCAGGTTTGATATCAGTTTCCAATGATGGTGAGCAGTTTGACTAGCCAATTTCTAACATGGTTAACACAGGGATGCACAGCACGATCTGACCTAGGTGAGTGCTGGCGCCAAAAGATCCCCAATTCATCCCTACACCACGAGCACGAAAGGGATCTATATAGAGCGGGATGATTGTGTGGTCTATCCGTGCACTTGAACATTCGACCAATTGGATTACCTCTATTTCCTATTCACATTCTCCCCTCCATTACACTTTCCATTGCTCACTCGGGTTTAGCGCAAGGATGTTTTTCCGATTGCTGGAGCGGATCCGAAACATATCATATGGCATCAGT